GGGTCCCGCTAACATGTTTAACCCCGCCACATTCTGTGTGTATGTGCCTGTCCAAAGCCAGGATCCTGTAATTCAGTGGTTGTCGTTTGTTGCTGTGTTACATATTTGTTTTTCGTTCAGTTTTTGTACATAAATTAGGCCGTTAGTTTCTCGTTTGAATTGTTTTACATTTGTCATTTCGGGCTTTTTATAGCTGACTATGCGGTATGGGCTTTGCTCATTGTTGAAGGCCGTACGGTAACCTATAGTTAATTTCTGTGTCATTTGGTCTCTTGTGAAGATTTGTCTCATTGGCAATCATACCACATCTTATTTTTTTATATCAACACCAAAGACATGAAAAGAAATAAGACGAAATCATTAAAAGGGGGCAATGTATAATAAGCAACATGGTATCAGTCGAGCGCAAAAACAGATACATATGCGCTAATAGGGCAATTTCACCTCTACGAACCAAGAACAAAAACCAAGAAAAGAAAAGGAAATAAAGCATTAACAAGATGCAACGTATAAAAATCGAATAAGGAACAAATAAGTAGCGAATAAGTAACAGGGTATCAGTCGAGCGCAAAGAAGGAGACATTCGCTTTAACAGGAAATATCAACTCACCGAACCCATAGCTAACACCAAAGACAAGAAAAGAAAGCATCAAAAAAGGGTAGCGTATCAAAAGGAATAAGGAACGAATAAGTAGCGAACAAGTTATAGGGTATCATTCGAGCGCTGAAACGGGTACATACGCGCTTACAGGTTATTTTTACCTCCTCAAACCAGAGAAAGCATTAAAGGGGGGCAACATATGAAAAGATTATAAGGAAAAACAAGTAACGAATAAGGAATAATGATTCAGTAACGAATAGGTAGGAAATACGGAATTAGGAGTAAAGAATAAGTAACGAATAATAAATAAGTAATAAGTAAACAAATTGGCGAACCTAAGAGTCGCAGCAGCGAAGCACTTCATTCCATTATTCAAAATCGTTTTTCCATTATTCAAAATTGGTTATTTCTTAATGTTAACGCTTATTTTGGCATTTAGGTCCTCCGTATCCCCTCTAATGGGCATTGCGGCACATATTGATTATAACCATTTTGTTCCTCTGTCCATAAGCTTTCGAATGGTGTATAAGGTTTCTCTGTAATTAGGGGCTGAAGGGTCGTAGCATTCCATTCCATTATTCAAAATAAGCTATTTCTTATTGTTGACGCGTATTTTGAAATTTAGGTCCTCCGGAACTCCTCTAATAGGCGTTGCGGGACATATTGACTATATACCTTTTGTTCCTCTATTGATAAGCTTTCGAATGACGTTAAGGTTTCTCTGTAATTAGGGGCTGAGAGGTCGTAACAGTCCATTCCATTATTCAAAATATCCATTTCATTATTCAAAATTGGCTATTTCTTAATTTTCACGCGTATTTTGGCATTTAGGTCCTCCGTAACCCCTCTAATGGGCATTGCGGCACATATCGTTTATACTCAGTTTATTCCTCTATCAATACGCTTTAATTTGGTATATAAATTTTTCCTTGATTAGGGGCTGACGGATTGCAGCAGTCCATTCCATTATTCAAAATAAGCTATTTCTTAATGTTCACGCGTATTTCGATATTTAGGTCCTTCGTTACTCCTCTAATATGCGTTGCGGAACATATTGACTATATACCTTTTGTTCCTCTCTTAATAAGCTTTCGAATGAGGTATAAGGTATATCTATAATTAGGGGTTAAAGGGTCGCAGCAGTCCATTCCATTATTCAAAATATCCATTTCATTATTCAAAATTGGCTATTTCTTAATTTTCACGCGTATTTTGGCATTTAGGTCCTCCGTAACCCCTCTAATGGTCATTGCGGCACATATCGTTTATACTCAGTTTATTCCTCTATCAATAAGCTTTAATTTGGTGTATAAATTTTTCCTTGATTAGGGGCTGACGGGTTGCAGCAGTCCATTCCATTATTCAAAATAAGCTATTTCTTAATTTTTCACGCGTATTTCGATATTTAGGTCCTTCGTTACTCCTCTAATATGCGTTGCGGAACATATTGACTATATACCTTTTGTTCCTCTCTTCATAAGCTTTCGAATGAGGTATAAGGTATATCTATAATTAGGGGTTAAAGGGTCGCAGCAGTCCATTCCATCATTCAAAATATCCATTTCATTATTCAAAATTGGCTATTTCTTAATTTTCACGCGTATTTTGGCATTTAGGTCCTCCGTAACCCCTCTAATGGTCATTGCGGCACATATCGTTTATACTCAGTTTATTCCTCTATCAATAAGCTTTAATTTGGTGTATACATTTTTCCTTGATTAGGGGCTGACGGGTTGCAGCAGTCCATTCCATTATTCAAAATAAGCTATTTCTTAATTTTTCACGCGTATTTTGATATTTAGGTCCTTCGTTACTCCTCTAATATGCGTTGCGGAACATATTGACTATATACCTTTTGTTCCTCTATTGATAAGCTTTCGAATGACGTTAAGGTTTCTCTGTAATTAGGGGCTGAGAGGTCGTAACAGTCCATTCCATTATTCAAAATAAACTATTTCTTATTGTTGACGCGTATTTTGACATTTAGGTACTCCGTAACACCTCTAATGGTCATTGCGCCACATATCGTTTATACTCAGTTTATTCCTCTATCAATAAGCTTTAATTTGGTATATAAATTTTTCCTTAATTAGGGGCTGACGGGTTGCAGCAGTCCATTCCATTATTCAAAATATCCATTTCATTATTCAAAATTGGCTATTTCTTAATGTTCACGCGTATTTCGATATTTAGGTCCTTCGTTACTCCTCTAATAAGCGTTGCGGAACATATTGACTATATACCTTTTGTTCCTCTCTTAATAAGCTTTCGAATGAGGTATAAGGTATATCTATAATTAGGGGTTAAAGGGTCGCAGCAGTCCATTCCATTATTCAAAATATCCATTTCATTATTCAAAATTGGCTATTTCTTAATTTTCACGCGTATTTTGGCATTTAGGTCCTCCGTAAGTAACCCCTCTAATGGTCATTGCGGCACATATCGTTTATACTCAGTTTATTCCTCTATCAATAAGCTTTAATTTGGTGTATAAATTTTTCCTTGATTAGGGGCTGACGGGTTGCAGCAGTCCATTCCATTATTCAAAATAAGCTATTTCTTAATTTTTCACGCGTATTTCGATATTTAGGTCCTTCGTTACTCCTCTAATATGCGTTGCGGAACATATTGACTATATACCTTTTGTTCCTCTATTGATAAGCTTTCGAATGACGTTAAGGTTTCTCTGTAATTAGGGGCTGAGAGGTCGTAACAGTCCATTCCATTATTCAAAATAAACTATTTCTTATTGTTGACGCGTATTTTGACATTTAGGTCCTCCGTAACACCTCTAATGGTCATTGCGCCACATATCGTTTATACTCAGTTTATTCCTCTATCAATAAGCTTTAATTTGGTATATAAATTTTTCCTTAATTAGGGGCTGACGGGTTGCAGCAGTCCATTCCATTATTCAAAATATCCATTTCATTATTCAAAATTGGCTATTTCTTAATGTTCACGCGTATTTCGATATTTAGGTCCTTCGTTACTCCTCTAATAAGCGTTGCGGAACATATTGACTATATACCTTTTGTTCCTCTCTTAATAAGCTTTCGAATGAGGTATAAGGTATATCTATAATTAGGGGTTAAAGGGTCGCAGCAGTCCATTCCATTATTCAAAATATCCATTTCATTATTCAAAATTGGCTATTTCTTAATTTTCACGCGTATTTTGGCATTTAGGTCCTCCGTAAGTAACCCCTCTAATGGTCATTGCGGCACATATCGTTTATACTCAGTTTATTCCTCTATCAATAAGCTTTAATTTGGTGTATAAATTTTTCCTTGATTAGGGGCTGACGGGTTGCAGCAGTCCATTCCATTATTCAAAATAAGCTATTTCTTAATTTTTCACGCGTATTTCGATATTTAGGTCCTTCGTTACTCCTCTAATATGCGTTGCGGAACATATTGACTATATACCTTTTGTTCCTCTCTTCATAAGCTTTCGAATGAGGTATAAGGTATATCTATAATTAGGGGTTAAAGGGTCGCAGCAGTCCATTCCATTATTCAAAATATCCATTTCATTATTCAAAATTGGCTATTTCTTAAATTTCACGCGTATTTTGGCATTTAGGTCCTCCGTAACCCCTCTAATGGTCATTGCTGAACAATCGACTTGTTATATCTATAATTAGTGGATGAAGAATAGCAAAGGTCCAGTGAAAATAAAAAAAGACCACGTAGAGTATTTTAATTTATAAATATATGTTTTGGTATTCAGGTCGTCCATACATTGAACCAAGGAATTCCTGTTAAAAATAGTTAGGAAAACCCACTAGTTTATCCTCCGAAACTAGGAACCAGATAAATAAATCAAATTAGAATTTAAAGAGTGTTTTTATTTATTTTTTCTGATATCGATTTGAATATTTGTTAGATAACACCAAAAAGACTAATTTAGAAATACGGGATATAGCTAAAATGTCACAGTCAATTTTTTTATTTTTATTTCACTATTCACCGCTTAAACTTGAATAATGAAACATAAACTATTTCATTATTCATTATTCATCACTTGATATTGAATAGTGAATAGTGAATATTTCATTATTCATTATTGAATTTTGAATAATGAAAAATGAATAATGGACGTACTTCAGCGCGGTGTCATGATAGTGGTACGAATTACCCTTTTTGTGGATCAAGATTAAAATATACACAAAAATGTAATCAGAAAGAAAGTTGTACTTAAGCATAAATTACAACTTAAATATTTCGTTTGAAAAGCGTGTTATGTACCAAAAAAAATATTTTTTGTTACGTACCAATTTGATAACTATACTTATAAAAATATGAAGATGTGTAATGATTGTCAATGAGACAATTTTCCACCAGGGACCGAGTGAAATAGAAGTGAACAACTAAAGGTCGCCATACGGCCTTCAACAATGAGCAAACCCCATACAGCACAGAAAGCCACAAAAGGCTCCGAAACAACAAATACAACCATCCAAACTAGAAAACCAACGTCCGGATCTATGTACAAAACAATTACTAGTAATGAAAAACAAATATGATATACAGAAACAAACGACAACCACTGAATCACAGGCTCACGACCCGGGACAAGCACACAGAAAGCGGTGGGGTTAAAAATGTTCGCCGGCGCCTAACCCGCATTGTCTTTTTTCATTAATGTCTCTTCTCTTAGATGAATATTATGGTCTTGTTCTTATCATTGCTCATAATCACCTAAGCTTTAGTATCGGCAACATTTTTTTTTTTAAATATTTGATACTGCACAGACAGATGAAAAGGTTGTATTTATGTTATTTACAAAGCCATTCCCTGACATATCGTCTATTCAATTCAACTAATGTATCTGTAGACACAGACGACGATACAGAAACTATCAAATTATTTGCTATTGGATTTTCTGTATTTGTCATCCTTGTAATACACTTAATTTTTTGGGGAAAATTTCGGTAAAAGGCAGCACGACAAAGACGGAGAGTCAGACGAATTAACGTCGCAGGCCAAGGTGGTCACGGAGTGTGGAATAGTTACAATGGTGATGGTGGAGGGTATGATTATGGTGGAGGCTGGGATGTTGGTGGTGGTTATGGAGGTGATGGTGGTGGTGATGGTAATGGTGGTGGCGGTGGTGGTGATGGTGGTGGCGGAGGCGGTGGTGGTGATGGTGGTGGCGGAGGCGGTTGAGGAGATAAGAGAGGATGATGATTTTCGAATATGTATTTAAAGAAACGTAACAATAGATAACTATTTGTATATAGTGTTGTATTTTGAAATGACACATTAAAACATATTACAATGGAATTAAACGTTTTAAAAAAGTAAATAGACTAAAAAAAACCACAAGCAAAACTATTAATAAAAAAGCTAATCGGCAACTATTTTCTCATATTAATCTTATCGAAAAAACTTTAGTTTATCTCATTAATCTCATTTCTTTAGCTTTCGGGATTTTCTGATTCTTCGATGTCATCACTCTGCCTTGTACTTTTACAACATTCATATTTCAAAGTTGTTGAAATCTGTTGGATAGATCAGTGTTAGTGGTACTAGTGGTATTCTTTTCAGCATCCACTGATTTTCTATCGTGTCTAGCGTTATTCCTGTAATGAAAATATTGATTGACAGACAAACAAATGAGGAAGAAAACACTGTACTTTCACTTTCATTGTGTATCCTATTCACCCATTCTCAGGAAATCGGGTCAAATACTTGATTCATTGTTCCTGTAGATATTTTTAGCCTTATCTGCTTAAAAAATGTCTAAAAAATATGTAATTGAAATTCCAGGGAGATATCTAACCGAAACAAACATAATTGCTACGTAGAAGAATATCAAAATCACTCCAAGCTTACACACAAACGTATTATTTTGAGTAAAACGAATGTCCTTGGTGGTATAGATATTTTTTCTGTTGAGTGTTCTACTTAAGAAGCTTCCAAAACATGTACTAATGTTTTCTTTTCCGATCCATCACCATTCAGCCAGTACATATTTATGTCATTTTAAGTAGTTTGTCATAAAAAAAAACCCAAACACAGTTTTTTAAATTAATTTTGAACATATACATGTACGTTACAATGGAATCGTTTGGATAAAAATTGACCACTTGCACGGGATCCATTTAACTGCATTAATATGTTTTTACATATTTGATCTTCCCTTTTAACAGTAGAAAATACCCTGTTATTAGAAAAATATTTGAAATAAAACACTATGAATATTTTGTTAAACAGATTTGGTACCAAACGATACGTTACCATGTTTCGATTAACGTAAATATACCGGTAAATTTCGGAATTCAGTTATATGAGCTATCTGCTTTAATATATTTTTATTTTGTTTATGATACAACAAGTTATGAGCTGCAATTTTCGAAGACATATGAAAGACAACGTCAAATTAGGTAATTGTACTGCTTTTAACTGGATATTTTAATACATTTCCCGCTAGTATTAAAGTATTGTAATTCATGTTGCAAACATTGAGTAACGTATTTGTTTCCTATGGTAACGTATTTGTTGCATGCCTTGAACAGATACGTTACATCTTATATATTATATTGCTTTTGTTAATTTAAAAGTTTAAATCGTTACGCTTACTTCTTTTTTTAAATATTGTATATTTACAGTTTATTTATAATTAATAGTTCCGGAACCGATATAACAGAGTTTTCAATATCATAGTCGTTTTCTTAAAAGATACGTGATCTCTTCATTTCCAAATTGAAAATAAGATAAGATATATAAACAGTTGAAAAAATATATGAAATTTACAAGAGGAGTTGTTGATAATTGATATCATAACATATTTGGATTAATATCTTGATACATTTTTTTTTATTAAGAACAACTTATTGTTATTTTTTTTGTCTTCACAGTTGTATTTGATCAAGATATGGATTCAAGAACAAATTATAAACATTTAGAGTCTTACATCAAGATTTATGACTATTAATAGAATCTTAGGTACCTCTAGAATAGTAATGGACAGGAGGAAAAATTGAATCAATGGCACTTTGTATGAAAGTTCGTTTGCAAAGGTAATAAACATGACGGTAACGTTCTGTTATGTGGAAACAAAGTTACCCATAGTCTTGACCATCGATATTATTTTTACAGTAAGAGCTAGGATCAACCACTTTGGAATCTTTCAAATCTATATGAATCATTTGCGCATAATTAAAAGTTTGTTTACACAAATTGATTGTCCAAGTATAGTTTTGGCAAATGGTCCTAGTTTGCTGAGAAATAGTGTATTATATTATACATTAGTGAAAACTAGATTACATTATAGTTTGAATATTAGGACTACAATAATACTAACACAATCATTCAGTATATTGTCATATAAAAAGAAGATGTAGTATAATTGAATCCCACACTGTGCGGCAAACATAGGAATACAGCAACATTTACATCTTACTGCTGTGTCATCGTTCTAAGATGTGTCTTTTACTTGACATGAAATTATATCAGGCGTTATGTTCACTCATCGGTTTTCGAGCCGTCAAGGATTTGTTTTGTTTGTCTATTCATCCTACCTTGCACCATATTTTGTTATTGTATTCAATTTCCCGAAAAAACACAGGGGATGGATCATATGAGATAAAAATGTGCTGAAATGATATTATGTCATATAAATATTTTTCATTATTTCAAGCATGGCGTTGGTTGCAGATCTTTGATTGTTTCTGTTGAATTCATTCCCAATTTCTAGTAGCTGTTGTATAGAGAATTGTGTAATGTTGAAGATCTCTATGCTGCCCTCTAGAAGACTTTAAAGTTTATGTCGCTTGGTTTCTGTCTCATTGAAGTATACCTCAAATCTTATTTTATTCATATCTCGAGGAACAAAGATTGTCGTTAATTCTCTAAGTGATTTAACCTTGAATTTTATAGACATCTGGGTTTAATACAAAGGATCTTTAATTATTTTTCTTACCTTCGTTTGCAGAAAATGAAACCTATCAAGCAAGAAATTGCTACTGCGACAAACCCAACACTAGCGCCTATGTACACCAATATTCTATCTGAATCTACAAAACAACAAACTAAAATAAGACATTGTCTTAACAGTTTAAAGTTTAAAGTTTAAAGTAAAACTATTTGCTTTTCGTTTTTACACATTTTAATGTTTGTTCGTACACCTCTATCGAAACTGTAAATTAGTCTATATCGTGTTGATATGATGATAAGGTTTTTGGTTCTGACCCCTTTTATGTCAAGATGAGGAAATAAGGTATGTATCTGGAATAGTTGCAGCTGCACTTTGCTTGAATATTTTGGGACTCCATGGCATCCAATGACTTGAAAACGATACCCTCGGAAAACATTGATAAAAATTACACCTCTGATTAAAATGGAACACAGAAGTGGTAGGAATTTAATTTTGTTACATAAAAAAAACCGACCAGATAAATTATAAGTCTGACCAGGCTAATTAAAATTGCAAAAAAACAGAGTCAAGGAAGAATATCAGTATATTAATATACTAACGAACCCTTATGCGTATATATGTGTATGCGATTAGCGCAACGCTACCTATGCAGAAACAGAGAAATATTCAAGGCTCAAATTGCAAAATCATACATGTGAGCATGAAATAACTTACTCGCAAAAGAGAGGGTATGATAAAGCCACCTTTCTTGGCCCCTGAATTCGAAAATCAAAAATTGTAGTGAATCTACCAACCAACATCCTTTTGATGTTCATTAGACATTAGACTGTTGGACATCAGCATTTCTATTTTTTATATTGTGTCTTACATATTGGCATTAGGGCTTCAAAATCTTACAATTAGTGGAAAACAGCAAAAAAACTGACAAAATAGCCTCATTTTGAGATCTTGTCATGAATATTTAGATATGAGTAACAGCTTCACCAAAAAAGATATTTTGCTACAAAATGTATTTTATAAAGATATCAATGTTTGTAAAATATCTGTTTTGGATAAAGGTGTCTCACATATATAATTTGACAAAAAAACTATGCATGAAATGGTCATTCTAAGTCCAATACGGTAAATTTTGACATGTTTATGACATCTTGGTGACATCACAAATCACCTTTCTGAAATAAAGTGCCCATGTTATTTTATCCTCTTCATTTGTCAAAAAACAATTAACATAATTCAGAAAAGCTAGAGTAAGTTTACTTATTTTGCAATTTCATGAGCCAAATTATGGCTTTATCATTCCTCCTCCTGTTACTGAACATCTATCTCTGCAATATATTTCCCGGTTTTAAACTATAGATTTCAATTAAAAACTTATTAATATAGATACAGTACAAATGGACCGCACACATTGTTAAAAGATGACCATATCTACTTCTTTAATAATTGAATCCTGCAGTTGAACACATCTGATAAATAATAACCATTTCCTAGTATCATATGTACAAAGTTGCTAACTATCGGGAGACTGTACACACAATGTAAATGATTTATAATTGATATCATGGTAAAATAAAAAATGAAAGACTTTATCCCGATATAAAGAAGGCAGAAATGTATACATTTATGATATTGGAATCAGTAGTTTGAATGAATGAGATATATGTAATTCAAAATCTGTCAAAAACACTTTTTTTCACTACATGTTTTCCAAACACCCGCACGCGGACCTATCTGTATTTTTTCCATTTTGTTTGTGCATTATATTTTATCCATTAAAAAGATGTTAGTTATGACATTTCAGCAGCAAATGTCATTAATAAGTACGCATTCTAATATCATTGAGTTTTATTCATCATTCTATTACTGTAAAAGTAAATTATGAAGTAGAACGTAATCATTTCACAAAAGTAACTTGGGAAAGACTGGCCAATTGAAAGTGACAATTCAATCGAGAAACCATCAACGTGTTTGTTTGACATAATGGTATATTATGCGAATTCGTTATGTTTTTTTTAATCGCACTTGATAATGAGTGACTACCACAATGACAAAGATGTCCTTAAAATTGTTTAAAGAAGAAAATGATGAAACTAAATTATCCATACCATTAAGTGAGGTTGTACCACTAAGTTCATTGTCTTCGAACTCTATAAATTGTCTGTTGTCTTTTAGGAGAGAACTCCGTGGGCTTGGTTTGATTGATGCAGTTTTATTTTGATGGCCTTGTGAAATAGAGGACTGTTTTCTTTCAGTTGCCGTTTTGTCATCTCCAAGAAGCTTTTGTTTTCTTCCTGTTTGTAGGGAGCTATCTTGGCTATTATTTACATTCATTAACTTTCTCACGGTCTCGGCTGAAACAATCTCACTTGAAGAAGATGTAAGCGTGAAATTCTTAAGAAAATCAAGTTTCCCACTTGGTCGTATCTGCTTGGTTGTATTGGGACTCTTTTGGTTGCTGTTTAGACGGCCTTGTGAAATAGAGGACTGTTTTCTTTGTGTTGCCGTTTTGTCATCTCTAAGAAGTTTTTGTTTTCTTCCTGTTTGTAGGGAGCTATTTTGGCTATTATTTACATTTATTAACTTTCTCGCGGTCTCGGCTGAAACAACCTCACTTGAAGAAGATGTAAGCGTTAATTTCTTAAGAAAATCTAGTTTCCCACTTGGTCCTATCTGCTTGGTTATATTGGGATTCTTTTGGTTGCTGTTTAATACTCTTGGGTCGACACCCAAAAGTCGCAAGGGAGACACAGTTTTATTCGGTTGAAATGATTCATTAGGTGAAGTAGAAATTAAGATATGCTGTGGATTCGTCAGAGGAAATTTTCTTGGATCCCTTGGGAACGGAATAAACGACTGGTTTAAGGTTTTGTTTAATTCGTCTGGTTGATTAGAACCACCAGATGTAGATTTTATCCTTTCGTTCCGTAGGAAACCCGATTCATTTGAGATAGATGTGGGATTAGATTGCGTTATTTGATCATCTGTTCTAACTTGTTGTGTGTTGGTAAATCTGCCCTGATTATTATAGTTTGTAGTGGCAAATGGTTGGCTGTTGATAAATCCTCCCTGATTATAATAATTTGTTGTGGCAAATGGATCATTGAAAGGATGATATATGTCCGACGGAAGCCAGAACGGACGAGAATATGGGAAGAAATTTGGAAATGTGGACGGTAGGGTCTCTTTCCATACTGATGATCGATGGATGTTCCCTCTCTGGTAATTGCTTGGGGGAGTACCCTGGCCGGCTGATGTAACAGGACCACATTGCATTTTCGTTTCAACTCTCCCTGTTGACTGAGTCACTGTAAAAATATATTTGAATTCTATCCTAAGAATAATTAATTACAAAATTAAAAAAAAATCATTAGTTAGCTCATACGATGGATGAAGAGAAGATGAAAATGATATTGTTTGTATACATAGTTGAAATTAGGATTTTGTTGTAATGTTTTACCAATACAGATAAAGCTTAATGCATACATTGTATTCTACTGGATTATCAAAAATCGAAAAGGAAATAATCTGAATATAACGCATCTTTTTATATCAGTGAAACCCGAAATCTCATTTAAAGTCCATTTTTTAGCCCAAGAAAAAGAAACTTTGGAAACAATTCTTTAAATGGGCTCATGTCATAAGGAAATGCAACAATTTAATAAATCAGATAAAAAGTATACTGGCATAAAGCTGTTTACATAATTCCACCTAATATAAAATTCTTACTTTTCCAATCCAAAATATAGTAAAAAGTTCAAAATATAAGAACTATTAAGACATTTTACAAAATATACCGATTTCGTCATGAGTGATGCCTTGGTAAAATGTGGAATTTGCGTTCAAAGTCTGTAGTCCGTTTACTTTAGTCCTGTTTTGGAAATATGTAACAGATTTAATACTAAATTATATCTTTACATCAATCTTTGTAGCATTTTTCACTCTTTCATCATAACTTATTGTTTTTGCTTTATTTACTAAAAATATTAACTTGTATTAAATTTAAAAAAAAATAATGTTGAAAACTATGTTTTATTTAACAATGTTGCATAACAACACTGATTGCCTATACCAGGATGTTTTTGAGTTTACTAAAGTAGCAAGAAAGATGCAAAATTAAACTAAAGTAAGAGCCAGCGCAAATGTTTGGCTCGTCTGGAACAAATTTGTCTATGTGTTAGACGACTACTGACTGTTATTATAGGGATAAAACTTTTTCTTAACAGAGGTACGTTTGTAATGTTTTCATGTGTTGTCCATATTTGAACCAGAAGCGGGTCATATATAAATTGCATGTCCTCTTACAGATCGTTGGACGACCACACAAACATCAAGTGTCCCTCTGTTTCTTTGATAAACAGAAATCTTTGGTGCTAAACTAAACTTTGGTTGCTTTTTATCTTTACAAAATATTTTCAATACGTCTTTCTCTTAAAGAATATTAAAGAAAACCTGTGGTTTTGTTACCATAACTACTTCAAGACAAGTAGTAGTAAATATCAACTTTCATGCATCTTATAATACGACATCAGTGTGTGTTAACGTGTGTCATTGTTACATTTGGTTGATACATTCAACAATATATCTAGATGATATGTTTTCGTTAAATAATCCAGAGTTCTCTAAATATACTACTGAAATTTACCCAAAAGAACTTACTTTAACTAAATCTAACTTAAACAGCAGTAGTTGTCCTTTTCTTGATTTGGACATTTCAATCTCTAAAGGAAAACTCCATACTAAAATTTACGACAAAAGTGACGACTTTTCATTCCCTATTGTTAATTTTCCTTTTTTTGACGGCGATGTTCCTTTGGCTCCATCATACGGTGTTTACATATCCCAACTAGTTCGTTATGCCCGTGTGTGTAGTGATGTCATAGATTTTAACGAACGTAATCAATGCATCACTGGTAAATTATTAAGTCAGGGATTTCGTTACCATAAATTACGTAAAACTTTTACTAAATTCTTTCATAGATACAAAGATTTGATTAGTAAATTTGGCTGTACCTGTAGAAAACTGATTAAAAACGGTATTTCACATCCAAAATTTTACGGTTATATTGTACTTAAAGCGCGGAAATCACTATGTGATCCGTGTAAACTCATCGAATCTTTAAACAAACTTATAAGTAAAGGTTATTTTACCAATGTTGTAATTAGATCTTTGAATATAGTTTACATTGGCACTAATATCGAATTTGTCATCAGCAAATTAAAACATAACTAAATTTGTATTCCTTTCAAACAGGATTTATAAAGACACACCCACGTTCATTTTGATCTATAAAGAGGTTAACTCCTAACTAGCCTACTACCTGTCGATACATTTATTTTTGGCATTGCACAAGTCATGTCTTCTTTGACTGTCCATGATACTAAATCCCTGTGATGTGTTTTAGTTGATTTTAGTCTCTGATGCATGATTTTTTTATTATTAATTGTTTTTGGCTTTTAACTAGCTGTCAGTAACTGCGAGTACTCTCAAATCGTACTTTCTTATTTATGACCTGTTGATACTAATTGTAATGCTTTTTTGTTATTTAATGTTATTCAGGGTTATATCTGGTCTATATGCCAGCTTTGATAAGTGTTTGGTATTACTATGAATTTTCACTTCTTCGTACTATATACATCAAAATTATTTTTTTGGTAAAATATTTCCTTTCTCCTATCTGAACTGTACACGTATACCGAACAACAAAATTATTTTTATTTACCTGTGTTTAAAGTAATTGCAAATGGCTGATATTTTTGTTCAAGTATATTGTTTTTCTTAAATTGTTTAACATTTCACAGCGGTATAACATGTTACTTTAATTATTCTTCCCTTAGTTTATTTATTTTGTATTTGTATTGTTACAGTATCATAGATCAAATTTATTTGTTCAGTGTATGTTCACCGGTGTTAATATGTCTTTTGATTGAGTTAAGCCATTTCAATTGATATTTTATAGTGTGTTTTTCTATGTTGTGATGTTCAATATTGTTTCAGATAAGGGTGAAGGTTTGGTACCATTAAAACGTTTAAACCGGCTGCAATTGTTTGCACCTGTCCTAAGTCAGGAATCTGATGTTCAGTAGTTGTCGTTTGTTGGTGTGGTTCATAAGTGTTTCTCGTTTCTCGTTTTTTATATAGATAAGACCGTTGGTTTTCCCGTTTGAATGGTTTTACACTAGTAATTTTTGGGGCCCTTTATAGCTTGCTGTTCGGTGTGAACCAAGGCTCCGTGTTGGAAACCGTACTTTTACCTATAATGGTTTACTTTTATAAATTTTGACTTGGATGAGGGTTGTCTCACTGGCACTCATTGGCACTCATACCACATCTTCTTATATCTACATAAGATATCTGCAAGTAAATGAATTCTTTTTTTTTAATAACGAATTTACTTTCATACTTGATTCTAGATTATTATCCAACCTATTCGTTGACAAGTTTTTTTAATGCATCGATTCAGATTGTTAATGTACAAAAGCAAGTTTATACTACTGTAACATGTTTTCTTTGTCGTGACTAAATGAAATAATGAAACGCATGAAATTAAACAAAAACCACTAACCTCTAAATTTAGTCAGAAAACCATCATCTGTTTGAAAGTTTTTGTTGTAATATGTAATTCGAACAGACCCTTGGAACAAATGGTTGGTGATGGAACGACGTCCACACAATTCAATCATCTTATCAACAGATTCTTGTCTTGGAGATCTTTTGCTCTCTATTAATATGTAACTTTCGGAACAATTATATCCACTGACGCGAATATCCGAATGTATGTAGTCCGCCATGATGTCATGGTTATTTCTGGAACTTATTATACATTCGCATATTTTCCATGGATTGAATTCTGATGAATACCCTCGGAAAACGTTTGGAGATACGACAAAAAGCGACGGTTCAGAGACAGTCGTCGTTATTTCTCGACAAACATCAAATACTGAATTATCTGAAAAATAAGAATAAAAAATTAAGGTATATGCCAAGCCGTTTTACTATTTATTCTAACTTCAAGATATCTAACAAATTTTATAAGATATCTCATATAGTTTATAAGATATCTTATATAATTTATAAGATATCTCATTTAATATTCTTTATAAGATATCTCATTTAATATTCTTTATAAGATATCTTATATGAGATATCTTATAAAGTATATGAGATATCGTATACACTATATAAGATATCTTATAGAATATATGAAATATCTTATAAAGTATATAAGATATCTTATATAAAAAATATTTATAAGATATCTTATAAACTTTACAAGATATCTTATCTACTTTATAAGATATCTTTTAAAATTTAGAAGATGTCTTATGAAGTATATAAGATATCTTATCTACTTTATAAGATATCTTTAAAAATTTAGAAGATGTCTAATGAAGTATATAAGATATCTTTAAAAATTTAGAAGATGTCTTATTAAGTATATAAGATATCTGATAAACTAAATGAGATATCTTGTATAATATATAAGATAACTCATATAATATATAAGATATCTTATAAAAACTACATTATATAAGATATCTCATATAGTTTATAAGATATCTTATAAGTTGATGACATATCTTATATAGTTTATGAGATATTTTATATAGTTTGAGGTATCTTATATAGGTTATAATATATCTTATATAGTTTTAAAGATATCTCATGTAATTTATGAGATATCTCATAATTTTCTTCATAATATATCTTATAAACAATATAAGATATCTTATACACTATTAAAGATATCTAATAAACTATATGAGGTATTTTTAAGATATCTTATAAACTTTAGAAGATATCTTATAAAGTATTTAAGATATCTTATATAGTATATAAGATATTTTATAAAGTATATAAGATATCTTATAAAGTTTATAAGATATCTTATAAAAACTAGATTATATAAGATATCTTATATATATCTTGAAGTTAGAATAAATAGTAAAACGGCTTGCCATAAAGATATACTCGGCTTTGTATTGGTAGATAACATAATCCATTTCGATTTCTAGATACATCTAAATCATGTCCAAAACATCACGACTTAAAACTCCATAGTTAACATTGAAGAACAATGAAAGGAAAACCGATTACGACGGCGCAAATTAATACGTTTATTTATGAATCATTGTCAATAGGGTTTCCAGTATTTAGTTTTAACATATGATGGTAAAGTAAAGTACATATAATGATCTTCCCTCAATGATTGAACTTTCAATGTCCTCGCACGATTTAAACCATTGTGGTGACGTCAGCCTATTCATTTACCGTGGATTCTTTTTCTAGAATCAACGCTTCCTAAATCTGCCGCTGAAATGGACTCACCAAATTATATTCAATTGTTTCCTTTGTGTGTCTAATTTCATTAAGTTTGAATTGGCCAATTTACTGATTTCTGTTCACTAATGGAATTAATTTAAAAACTTACCTTTAATTTTTGTAATTTGTATATGCCTTCACTGGGAATCGAACCCTTCCTTGAAATCTAGCTGTTATGAATGACTGACATCAACACATCGACGAAACCTCTCGGCTACCAATGGGTTACAACTTAGATGTCTATATTATATATATAAATGAACATCGGACACACAGGGGTTGTACCTTTATATATACACAATGGGCAGTCGTATAGTATAAGTTGGTAGCCGCGAGGTTAGCATGCTTAAAATCAACGAGTTAAAAGATAGGGATTTGTCGGTTTAGGTTCGAATCCCTGTATTATCTCTGTTGTCCCAATTCTGTTTTTTTTTCTAATTTTGCATGTTATAGTGGATATTTTTGTAATAATAGCGTGTTTTACCGTTTATTTTTTTTTATTATTATTGGCTATATCACATGTTTGAAACAAAAATGATTACATTCTATTTGTCAATTTTTGTTGTATAAATATAGTATGATTTCATCTGTCTTACTACATAATTTTACAAATATTTGTTCGCAAATTCCTATGCTAGAAAATCGTGATGTGCCTAGAGTGCTAGAAATTTCGGTAACATACTTATTATATATACTTTATATATGCTCTTTGGTCGGGTTGTTGTCTCTTTGACACATTCCCCATTTCCATTCTCAATTTTATTAGAAATAAGTTCGAATATGTCTTATTTTGTAAAAACAGATAATATTCAGATGCCTGATAATATAAAGATCTTTAAAGGTAGAAGTGTTATATTTGTATTTTGTTAACCAATTAATTGTGATCTGAGAATTATCAATGCATCGTTGGACACGATAACATGGTTATTTAAACTCACTTACAATACCTTCTAATTAAGAAAAGGCTTTAATTTTGAAAAGAAATTAACACAATAGTTTAAGTTATAGATACAATGGATAAGCGTAGATTCATAAAAAATATATTTGTAAAAGAAACAACAAAAACTCAAACCAGTGCTAGGGAACGTCTTCAATTTGCAGTGAGGTGAGAGTTTTTTTTGCTCCATGTTGAAGGCCTCTCTGTTACTTTGAGATGAAGAACAGCAATAAAAGCTGATTTTTATTATGTTTTTTTGCTTTGCAGATACTGATTTTGTGTCATGGATGGATACCCCATATCCTTTCTTTTTCATTATAACAATAGAGGCTAGGTTGACCATAAAACGATTTTGTCTACTCTGTTTAGGCCAAAAACGTTTGATATGTAAAATCCTAAATACTTCTCAACTGATGCATATTGAATATTGAATATGAATGGAAATTGAACTCGTCACGTTTCCTTCATGCCACCTACATGTATCAGTTGAATCGAAAACGCTTGTGCACGGACTAAAATGACAGTCACATTACATCTTATTTTTAGTTTTAAACTAATATGAAAAAAGAAACATACAATCTTGTCTTCGTAAAACGACGAAATGACAAACAGTCCAAAAAAATCACACAGAAGATTAAAAATCGAGCAATACGAGGCCAACCAAAGAGCGTTAACAAAAAATAAATTGATTGTCTTACCAGCAACACATTCATATTCCACATGCACAAAATCACTCATATAGTTGCACTTTTCGAGTCTTTTAGGAAGTACATCTAATGAACAAGTAGTTCTCCCATCGCAGTTAGAAGCTATTGCAGGATCGCTGAAAAGTTCCATATCACAAGACTCATCCGGATTAGCACAGGATCTAGAATTTCCGTAGCCATGGACAATCCTTGCAACCAAAATTTTTGAATTTGGTTTAGACAAACAGGACAACGATCCTGACATTGAATTATCTCCAAATGCCATTGCTGCCCCGATAACCTCCTCGGAAGATCCGAAAGAACCGAAGGGTAATGGACCGCCCCCAAACAACATCAAACAAGCATATCTTGTTTGTGCCTCTGAAATTAGATAAATAGAAAACAGAAATATCTAGCATCATATCAAACAATTGGGTATCAAATTTTGATCCCTTCTCCTTTGTGTGAATCTTGTAACGAGTCGTACTTGATTAACTATATGTCATCTGTCACTATTATTTAACTACAATTTCTATTTTATTGACTGTTATTACAGGTTTCCGTGGTTTCCTTTAATAAGTAAAACGGGTTGAACGATTTCCAATAAGCTTTAAATAAATTTCATTTAATTTTATATTCATGTTTATCGAGAAAAAAACATGTTGTAATATAGAAAACGAATCTTTATCTAATATCATTCTAAGCTAGTCATTATAAATACATCTAAATATAGAATATCAGAGTTCAGTCTGGAGTCAACTGATCATTTAATAAAGAAAAAAAAAAAAAACAATTGGAAAAACGGGGACACGGTGGCTAGTAACAAACACAAGATTTTTAAACATACTTAGAGTTGTGATGTGAGAGTTTTATGCTCCGTGTTGAAGGCCTCTCTGTGAATTTGAGATGAAGAACAGCAATGAAAGCGCTTTGTCTTTGCCTTTAATGTTTTTTGGTGTGCATGTACTGATTTTGTGTCATGAATGGAAACCACATATTCTTTCTTTTCTATAAAATAAACTGCGTATGAATTATATGCTTTTATTAAATTGAAGACTTGTTTTCCGCATACAAATCGCTTAGCTGGATTGTGCTTTTTTATTACATTTGTATCACCTCAGAGAAATAAATTGTCAAAGATGTATTGAATTTACTTTGAACACAACAACAACTTACAAACAGACTTCTAAATATCTTGGTGTTTTGTGTAGTTCTGTCGCATTAACGTATACCCCATCTTTATTCTATAACAAAGTTAGTCAAGTCGGATAGGTATGTGCTGATCGTACTGGACAAACATTACATCCATCTTTAAGACAATGACATGTAAGGGAGCTACCATTTGATTTTTATGGGGGGGGGCTAGGATGAAAAATTGTGTCCTGCATTTTTTTTAGTTGTAATCTCGGTCCTGCCTTTTTATTTTTCACTTTATTCGGTCCTGCCTTTTTTTTCATTAGTCTATCCTGACTTTATATATAATTTGTCATTCTGCCTGTTTTTTTGCCAAGTTGCTCATCCTGCCTTTTTTTTTACTCAAAACTTCTGTCCTGCCTTTTTTCAAATTTCATCCTAGCCCCCCCCCCCCCTAAAAATCAAATGGTAGCTCCCTAAAAGATACTATCTAGATTAAGTGCTGTCATTACCGACAACGGGTTGATAATGGAAGTGTACTTTTTTCAAACCATCCTTCAAATATAATATTCAATGATGTGCAATTAAACTACAATTCAAGTACAAATGTAGTTTATTGGTAATTCCAATACATTTTCCCAAAATGAAATTTACAATGATTGTTTGTAAGTGACAAAGGAAACCCTTCAGGATGCAATTTTTTTATGCCACCACCACTAGGCGAAAGGGGCATTAGGTGTTACCCTTGACCTTCAGTCCATCCGTCCGTCATTCGGTTAGTCCGTCTTTCAGCCTTTCTCCCCTATATTCATTCCTTTTTTGGGGTTTCCGCACTCTAACTTAAGTTTTACTCATTCAAATCGTATGAAACTCATATACAATGCTTAGAACCAAAACTAGCAGTGAGATAGAGTTCGAATTTGGTCAGTGAGTCACTTACCATTCTATAGTTATGCCCTATTATAACTTGGAAAATTGCATTTTTTTTTCGTTTCCGCACTCTGACTTATTTCTTTGTTATCTTCTTCATCTTTTTAAGGTGTATATATGTATATATTTAGCATGCAATAACTTGAAAAATACAAGTTATGTACAGACATAGATTTCATGACAAAAAATTGCATTTTAAAGTTGATGTTTTTTTTTACAGTAATGTACCATACATATGACACCAAGCTAAGTAATAAAGTACGGAAAAAAAGATACTTTATCATGTACAATCAATATTCAGAGAGGATTGTTTATTTATTTTCTTTTTATACGTTTTAAAATTGATTTTCTATCCTTACGTAAAAGTTTGAAAATAGCTTACCAACCGAAGCCGAATATGTCCATATTAAAACTGTCACTATTGATAACATTATGTGTAAAGTCAATACTTCATGAAATTATAAACAACATTAATGAAGCTAAAGTCACAATAAGATAGAACGTTAAATGCATCATTAGTTGTTAGTTTGACGAATCTACATGTATAACATTTTTTGTCTAATCAAACTTTCCAACACGTATTTTGGTTTTATGATAGATCAAACAATCTTTTAATGTATTTCTAATCAAATGGTGGTCAAAACTGTTTGCATAATTTAAAACAATAAATCTTTCAAATTTCACATATAAACAAAGACTTTTTGTCTGAGAACATCAAAAACAATTGTACATAACGATCCTCATCAAGCAAAAATACGATAAAAATATGTACATTCATTAATTTCATTTAAACACGATTGTGAATGTTGTAGGTAATGACAGTCGATGTTCATGTCACGAAAGGGATAGAACTTTGTATTATATTATAATAATTGAATCGAGTGCACATCATAATTATTATGTGGAGCAGTAAAAAACCATACATGAAAGTCGAAGAAAAACACACAAAACCAGTCGAGAAACAAACGACAAAAAGACAAAGAAAATTCGACAAAACACAACACAGACAACAGAAGATTGAGCAACACGAAACCCAAAATATAATTTGGTAATAAAGAAATTGCTTGTCGTACCAGATGCATGTACATTTGCATGTTTTACATGCAAAAAATCACTCATGAAGTTGCACTCCTCCAGTGTTTTTCATAAATATATACAAGGAAAATGTTATGTTCCCATGGCATTTACTAGTAATTGTGACAGAATCTCTAAAAAATATCCATATCACAAGATTTATCTATATTATCCGTTGACATGATTTAGAATGTCCGCATCCATGAATAATCCTTTCGACTAAAATGTTTAATTTGGTTTAAACAGCATATACTGGACAGAGGTCGTACTGTGACATGTAGTTGCTTACGTCTACGTCATTTGGTCTCTGATGAAAAGTTGTCTCATTGGTAATCATACCCCATCTTCTTATAACGATCCTGATATTGAACTACTTTCCAATATGTTTGGCGCGCTGATAGCTTCATCGAAAGATTGAGAGATAAGGAGAATTTCCAAGTACATGTTACATTAAGCAAGCATTTCATGTTTGAGGCTCTAAAATTAATTGAGAAAAATTATTAGGCAAGTAACATGACCTTGTACTCTTTTCTATACTCCTCTACAATTTCATACATTTCATACTTTATAAGGAGTTTGTCATAGATCAGTTTCTTTTTTTGTATTTTGTTTTAATATTGACAATCACTACAAACTTGGCCACTTCTTTCGGTTTTTCAACATTTATTAATTTATTTTTTGTTCTTAAATGCATTTGAATACTGCAACCTGACCTTCAAAGAAAGAAAAGAAAAGAAGAAAAAACAATATAAAATCACCCTATTTACTTGCTTGGGTCGTTCTAAACATGCATTGAATATTTGACAATGGACGTAAAGCAACTAACAATCATTAAATAAAATTTGCTTGGATATACTTTTAAAAATGCAGAAAAGATTACAGCTAAAAACGTCTAAGGTAACGTTGCACGAGTCAAAGCAATTCGGTACGTATAATAACATCTGGCTCTCCAATATATCAGTCGTGACAACGGTTCAGTGGCTGTGTTTGAAAATCACATGACTGACTATTCGTGGTTTATCTATAATACGACCCCCATTAAGTGGCATTTTCATGTACGACAAAAGTTATATATCCCAAGGACTTACTGACCTGTAGATTATTTTTAATTACATGTTATCATTAAACAACATGAAGTACAATGTAAGCTAGTCATTTATCGAGATTGATTTGGTAACAACCATTTCCAATTTGATGATTTTTCAGTAATTTACTGTAATATACCAACATAGATGCATGCCTTTTCTCTTTATCAAGAATCAGAATTGTATATTTGATTTTGATTTAATATCTATTCTTAAGTCTTGAAAATTGCTAACCAGCCGTTGATAAAAAAATTATAAAGAAAAGAAAATTAATGAACCTTTTGTTTGAACAAAAAATGACATTACAGGGCTCATCAATTGTCGGATTGACGAATCTATTACATTTGTGTCTAACTTTACTTGCTATCATGTATTTTGTGATTGATGAAACTTATTTGTGGTTTTTAATCAAATGGTATCAATACATGTGCAAAGAATGTACAGAATGGTACAAAAACCGAACCACTACCAATTTTGCAGAAACAAAAAACTTTACCTGCTGATCCATATTCCATAACTTGACAACCAGCTCCACTAAATAATGACACGATGAAAATATTTTCTAGTGTTACTGTCTTCATTCTATCGATTTCAAAGAAGACTAATATGGAAGTTTAAGTCGGCGTTTCCACCAAAAAATGACTTGAAAATTACATTGGATTAATTCATGTGTATATGTGTTATATCGAAAACAACATACGTAATACGTTATTTTGTTTGATCCTGTATTGGGGCCTCGGTGGCCGAGTGGTCTAAGTATTCGAACTACTGTATCACTAGCCTGTCAACAATATGGTTGTGAGTTCGAATCCCGCACGTGGCAGGTGACCTCGACTCCAATCTTACTTGACTAGGATTGTTAGTTTTCCTACCGAAGGTCGGTGGTTCTCTCCGGTGTGTCGCAACTTACTCTTTTTATTTGTAACAAACGATTTTTGTTCGACGATATTAGTTTTGGAATGAATGAATGAAAACCAAAAACAGTCGTTAATGCCAGCATCGTCTCAGTTGATATATCAATTTATATGGATATTCAATAAATGCCTTAAACGATTTTTTGATAAATAGATAAAATTCTATAATCGCTGGGTTCTGACATACTTATAAAGAAGAGAAGAATGCATTCGATAGCATTATTTTCAGCGTCCTTGTCGAGTATTCAATGCATATGAATTGGTGCAACTTTCGTAACTGGTATACACATAACTATTGGATCAAACCAAATACAAGCAAGCAGAAATTCAAAGGGAATTTCTATATTTCTATTGGAAAACTTGAAAAATAAAAGTAGAATTGAAAAAGACTTCAAAGAGGCTGGACGCATTTATCTGAAAATTAAAACCCAAACTGTGGATTCAATTAAGTATGATAAAATAACACACCATAACCACGAGGTTATACTCAATATACTGGAAAATATTAAGAATACCCAACAAGGCGGGAGCATGTTCTTTACGTCCTATATATAACGTTCAAGAATATATCTTATTGTCGTCTTGAAAATCATGACATATGGGTGGCTATACGATGCAGGACTTCTGTATCACTTCCTGTTTAACTTGGATGTATCTTCAAAAACCGTAATTTTATAGACTGTCTATCAGTGTACGTCTTTCTTTATATTTCCGTAAAATCGCGGATTGCCCTTTTTATTTCAATTAATGATTCCTCTTTCATTTGGAGTTGGTCTGAGTGGTATCTGATATTTCTGACAACGTATCCTTATAACTTTTATAACTCTGTAAATTATGAGGTACATGTAAAATACAAGTAAAAAAAAAACAATGAACACATGTATCTAAAACAAAATATGCACTTTATTGAGAACAAATATCTCTATGCAACAAATGAAATAACAATTTTTGTATTGTTAATTAAGATATTCATAACCTTTTTGCACCGTTTTATTAAAAAAATCTTTTATTTTCTTCGATATAGAGTTATTTGGATCAAAGTCAATTGTGTCCTGAAGAGCTTTATTGTTTGTTTCTGGTAACAAAATAACTAGGAACGCCGATAGGAACATAAGACCGGCAAACATTAGATATAGCAATCCAGGAATCTTCTGGCTCTGAAAAAAGCGAAAATAAATGCCATGACTATTCAAAGAGATTGCAATTGATAGTATTGTGTAATAGACCAATTGATAAACTAAACTAACTGTTTACGTGAAACTTATTTAAATTTATAAAAAAACCAAATATGTGTCGCATGTCTGTGGTAAACCTATCTATAACAAATTTCCGCAGACTGACTGGTGATGTACAACTTTATATATCATTTTGATAAAGAAACTTTTCTTTTCTCAGAAAATGTTTGATTACGCTATGCTATACATACAATATGTTGGTTTCTCGCATTGCTATGCACTCCACATATTTTTGAGTTTTAGTCAGGGAACGACCATATAACTTCAAAAGTGGGAGGGGGGGGGATCCATTTTGATGAAAAAAGATATTGTGGTCAAGAAGATGACAAAAAAATATTCTGAATCCAGATTTTCCCCATACCTTATAGTGTTAACTTTTGAAAAAAATAATTTGATTGATAACGTCGAAAAACTAAAAAAAAAAAATTTCAGACTCAGACAAAAACCCATACTCCCTCCCCCTTGAAGTTAAATGGTTGCTCCCTTAGAAGGAGTTTGTTAATACAACATAATTCTATGTTTAAAGTGCAAACGTGCCTACGGTCTACATCCCATTCAGCGACATATTGTTGAGATAAAAATTTTCGAAATTAACAAAAATGCATTTCTAGAGCAATATGTACAGGTTGCACGGTGTCATATAATAATCTATTTTAATTAAGGTTTAGAATAATTCAAGTTATATCTATTGAGTAGAAGCAATGACAACAAACCATCATCCATCTTTGCATTTTTACACAAAATGCGCACACACTTTTCAAATGTCATTTTCTGATTAAGATGTGGAAAGTGCGAAAAAATTGTATATCATTACTTTAACATACGTTGTATTCATTGGAGACACTTTAATCAAAATAAAAATGACTAAAGATATTTGAGTTAGTGACCTGGATGGGAAAAATCTCACTAGATGAAGTAGGAGATTACGTCGTACTGACCTATAGCCGAATACATCTTAATAGAAAAACAAAGGATATGGGGTATCCATCCATGACACAAAATCAGTAAATGCACAACAAAAAACATACAGAAAGCAAAGGAACAGCGCTTTTATTGCTGTTCTTCATCTCAAAGTCACAGTGAGACCTCAACACGGAGCAAAAAAAACTCTCACCTCACTGCAAGTTTAAGACGGCCCCTAGCACCGGCTTAAGCGGAATTCTTTGAAAAAATAATTTGGATAGACTTTGTAAGATGTAACACCACCAAATCGGGCCCGGTCGAAAAAGAACATACTGGAAAGTAGTACATAAAACAAAATAGTTCATAACAGTTTATAGATATTATGAATTCGATAGAATTTTGATACATGCAGCTCTTTTCAAACCTTGACAAGGTGCATTAAATCCACTGGAATTTGAAAGAGTTTTTCTTAAATATCTTGAAAAAAAAAATGGTGCACAGGGTTAAATTGGTGGTTAGTTCAATTGTTTAAGATGACAAAACTGTTGATAAACGCAAAGGAAAAGACTTCTTTAGAACATTTATTCTTAATCTTTAAAAGTGTTTAACAGAAGAGCTTACCGTCAATCTGAAGTTTATTTTCTGATTATATTTATATTTTATATTTAGTATTTTATCCAAAAGAAACACTACAAGTACAATATTCTGATTTTGAACACACAGACAGTTATTTAAAATGTAAAATGTTATGAAACATTGAAGACTAAAGACATAATTTTCATGAACGTTTCCCATTCTTTTCATAAACATACTGTCAACTTTCGGTAATATCATAATGCAACATTAATATATCCTTTAACCCATTGCGCTTGTCAAAATATATTATGTTTCAGTGGAAGATAGGATGTAAACTGCATATAGGTACTGTTACTAAATATAGTTAAAAATTCATAATAAAATTCATTTAAGGATGTTCGCTCCTATGTTTCAAAATAACAAGCCTTTTAAAGGACTGTTATAAACTGATAGTATATCAATAACGGGACATAAAAGTAAGGGGAAAAAAACAGGTCTATGTCCTTATTTTCAAATACGATCAATTGAAAATTTGGTGGGAAATTATTCTCTTTAGATGTCTTATACATTTATCATTGGTACCTTTTTTCTTTCAAAAACTATGAAAAAAATAAGGATTTTATAAGATTTTCAAAAATTGCTTTTTAAACTTTATGTAAATTATGAAAAGAAAAAGTAGGGGTTAGCGGGCAATTTTTTTATTGGTACTTCATGGATAAAACTTGAGGATTCCGAATATCTGATCAACAGTCAAAAACAAGAGTAGTGATCATCTTTAACTCATTTTTAATGATAATGCAAAATGTTAAATACCACCTACAGCAAAATTCACAATTGGTGCTACCATTATCCCAATCCCAGATGTTGCATTAAGCAAACCGGAACCAATGTTTCTACAAAATATGGTATCTTTTAAAAGGGCTATTGCACATATTTTCCTCAATATAAATGATAAAATAGTACCAAATATTTCAGCCACATTGTTTGCACTTCGTCAAATTCGTGTAGATCTAATACAGTATATTTCCGCCATCTTGTTTATATCGCGTTTTGTTGCATGCAATAAGCGCGTACTAAACTGTAAGTAGAAAGTCTTGAATGTAAAATCGGTTATTATGAAATATACGTAATCCATAGAGAACGCTCTACTCTTAAGTATCTTTATAAAAAAAACACAGTAAAAATATCGGCACATGATGCATGAAGTATTTTATACTATATGATAAAGCATTATGTTATAAGTTAATTAATGACGCCATCTAATTATTAACAGTAAAAGTACTGGTACTACCTTCAAAATAAAAGTCTTCGTCTTACTGTTTTATTAAACATGTTGTGATCAAACAAAAACAAAATTGTTACATTTTAATTGATTTTCTGCTAATGGCGATTACAGGGAGTTGCAAATTAAATTCAGAAAGTCTTTTTCGCCACAAGTTCACGGTCACCAATTCTGTAGGTTTTCGGCCATAATCATCTTTCGTCATACATGTAGCGTACTGTTAAGTGAACATGGCTAAAGATGACAGATCTTTGATGCATGTTTACAAATGTACAACTTTTCCAAATTTTCATCTTATCAGGACAATTGTCTATTGTTAAATACTGTCATCTTACAGTCTTTGATTTAGTTTTGTTTGACTGTTTTATCTTAAACTCATTGGGAAAGATGTAGTCAACTTACTCACGAAACTTTAATAATTCATTGTAAGGACATCATCTATATAGCGGAAAAGGATGTTAGAGGTTAATGTCAGCTTTTTTCAATTTTTCTTAAAAAGCTTCTGTATGAAGTTTGTCTCGTAAGAACAAAGGAACAAGTGAACAATCGGAGATCCACTGTAAGTTCCAATAGGAATGCTGATTACTTGTGGAAAAAAACTCTCCAAACGATACACAAACATGATTCGGATTTAAGAGGGATTCTTAACAGATGTTTTGAATGTTTTTGCATTCGCACCTGATTCATATCACCATACAGAAGGTATTTTCACAGTAAATTTGAAGCCCGATTTCCATTGCTGCTAAAATACATGTTAATAATTTTGACAAAGGTTTTATTTAGCATTAGGCAGACCCATTAGTATTTTAAAGTTGTTGTACAGTTTATGGAATTTAGTTCACCACATTTCAGTCATTTGGCTAGAGAATATATCGGATTATAGATGAGTTATTGACTTCTTTAAGTGTAATAAGGTACTAGTAGTTAACACTGTTTGTTTTTGTTGGATTGTTTGGGTCACTATCATTGAATATTACCCACATCTAAGTTTTATCAATTCTAACATTGAATCAGTTATACCTTACTACAGTTGGATTGTTTGGGTCACTATCATTGAATATTACCCACATCTAAGTGTTATCAGATCTAACATTGAATCAGTTATACCTCACTACAGTTGAATTGTTTGGGTCACTATCTTTGAATATTACCCACATCTAAGTGTTAATACTGTTTGTTTTGTTTGGGTCACTATCATTGAATATTACCCACATCTAAGTTTTATCAATTCTAACAATGAATCAGTCATACCTTACTACAGTTGGATATATTTCAGCCGTTATCAGCATGACAGATACCCAGCCGGTGGTCACAAATGCTTTTGAGGGAAGTGCAAAAACTATTACGAATGTTTCCTTATTTTCTATGTCTGTAATATAAAAACATTTGAAGTAAATTTCTGTCATGCAAAACAATGTTTTACATAAACACTTTTGTTTGGAAAGAAACATAAGTAGCGTATAACTATGTTTTTACTTATATTTTGATTGTTTTGGTTACGCACAAGTGTATATTGATATATTTGTTCACTTCAACTTCATCTTGACCTTCATTTTTCAACATTTTTGTTTCCATGGTAGTGGCCATTCTGCTTAATTCTGGTCATTTTTTAATTGTGTGTTTTTCTTTAACATAATAAGATAGAAAAACAAAGAATATGGAGTTCAATTAATTACACAAAATCAGTACATGGTCTAGATTGGCAAACATGAGATTCGTTTGCGTAAAACTGGTTTATGCCCTCCTCATTCTGAACCTGCACCAATGCAATCTAAATCTTGTGTTGCTTAACTTTTTTGTACATGTATTTTTTCGAAAGAATCGGATGTTGATCTGTTGTACTGTACAAAATTTAGGGTTATCCTATTATCCTTTTTATGTGTTATTCATGCACCTGTTTAGTTTTATATTCAAAGGACAATTCAAATAATTTTGCATTACCTAAGGCTTGTAATATGCCTACGATAACCCCAGAACATCCACCAATAATATAAAACATTGAAGTCGTCCATCTTCTTCCAATGCTGAGCATATTAAAGATATAACATAATGATGATTAACTCCAAGGAATTGATACTATGAAATTCAATGTGAATTATATTTTTTAGGCAAAGGTCGAATTGTCCAACCTCACAATTTTCTTTCGAAACTAATGAAAACAATTCAAAACATAATTAAATAATATTTTTTTTAATAGTTTGAAAATATATTTCTAAGTGAAATCCCCCTTTTAAATCGGCTTAACATGCTTCGTAAGTAAATTGCAAAGAACAAAAAATAACCATAGATATCATATCCAGGCTTATCTGTCATTTATAGCAATTGCTGCTATGATGTTTCGTTGTGAAGAGAAGTTTAGTGGAGTATACTGATGAAAAACAAAATTGCTATAAATCAGTGGATGGTTTAAACAGAATACAGAAAATAATTTAATGAATTATAGGCTTATATTTACGGTCCCTTTTGGTCATATTGCTCTTCACGTATTTCGGTTCATATACAACACTTTGCTTTCAAATATTTGGTTTCGAGAGTTTCTATGGGAAATGTATGCGCAGTACGTATGTATGTATGCCGTCCGAATGCAAAGCGGTGCATTCGGGAATTCGTTCATTATCACCGAAAGCATGCCGTATCCCAACCATTCCGGATGACATTTTGATAATTTCTTACCAGTTAGCAAAATACCATCCAGTCACTTGAAATAAACCTATGGCGTTCAGAAGAATCAAATTTATGTAAATATTCCCTTCAAGCTGTTGAACTCCAAAAAAGATACCATATGTTCCGTATCCACCGCTGAACCTACGAAAAATACTAGCTAATGTATCAAATATTTAAACAATACGACCTGTCATAAATTAACGGCATCTATTTTACTGTCCCAGATGTGTATTTCGACAATAAATGTCACTTTTAAAATGATGTACAAAGCCAAACTATTTGACAAACCAAAAACTGATAAAAACGTTCAAGAGATGAACAGTGAAAATAGGCTTAAACCCGTTTACAGAACATAATCCAGGAATCGAATAATAGATAAGAATAGCAAATTAGTTCGCATTAAATAATTACTGTAAACCATCTTTTTTTCGCGGATACTTTATTTTACTTCAAACTTACGGAATAACAAATATTTTTCCATGATTTGTTTACGATTATGGTCAATAAAGACATAAATAGCTGCATTTTTTTCTTTTTTTATTTTGCAAGACAATGTTAATAATTTTATTGTGTATTTCATTTTCGAATTACAGCTTCTTTTCTTTATTCTGTTTGTTTATTAGTTTGGGGAGGGGCTTTTCTTCATCAAATAAAACAAAACATTATTTGTCAACATGATAATGACGGCAGAAAATAGACATTCCTGAGAATAATTCTTAGATGCAAAATAATGGATAGATGATGAGGAAGATTTAACAAGATTTTAGATTTTATTAAAAATACATAGACAATTTCTATCTATAAACCTATAAATGAACGTTTAACATTGAAGTCAATCATAATATTAGACGTGTGTACACTTACCAAGCAACCATTAACAAAAGTGTTATCTTTAAAAGTCTAGGATTATCTAAGATATCTAGAATACTGTATTTTTTCTCTTCAGATACCAAATCTTCTACTTGTATCACTTCTGCGTGAAAATTGTCATACTCTGGTGGCTTTTTATTATTCATGCTTGCTATTGTTTTAATCACATCGTATGCTTTCTGAATTTTCCAATGTGTCACCAACCATCTAAAGCTTTCAGGAACAAACCTTTAAAATATTTTTCATGTATAAGTCAGACAGAGAAACATTTTAGAGTGATGGCTAAAAATGATAGTCTGTAAATATTTACGTTGCAAACCAATAACTATTTTAAAAAAGTAAAACAAATTAGATAAAATATGAATCGTATTTCATATCTGCAAGCCACAATATATGTGATGGTTTTGAATTTGTCAGTGTTTTGATAGTTTGTTTAACCAAATTTTATTACATTGAAGACCTGTTAATATATGATTTTTAAAATACACCTCTTATCTTTGATGACCTGAAAATGATCTATAAATGTTTTTTTTCATTAACTCTGAGCTTTAGTCCTTGAATGTGCTGACTATAAAAGATGAATTCAATTTTTGATTTCAATAAAATAGTGGTCTAGTTTGCAGTCAAAATAAATAAGCCGATTTCAAAATAAAACAGATTGATCAGAATTATTATCATACTTAACAAGACGCTAGAAGACCTTATGTAAATTTAACATTAGAATTTATAAAAGTATTTTCTTGCATTTGACAGACGAACGTCTTGTGAACATGTGGAGAATGAACATTTAAATAGATTGATTATACTTTATGATTTTTAAAACTGACAGGACTCAAAAGTAGTATATTTATATACTCTCATGATGAAGGATATCAATGTTTGGTTTTCAATCTGATATTTAAATAAAAATACATTTATTGTACACATTGCTTTTCAAAAATTGAAAAAAAAAAAAGGAATTCAACGTATAAAAGTTGATGATATTATTGGAAATGGATAAATGCTATTAATTAGAAAATATCGTTCTTGCTTAATATTTAGAAAAAAACAAAATAAATGATATATATATATATATATATATATAAGTACGTCTGAACCAGTGACAGCTCTACAACAGATTTATCCATCGGATCACCAGCAGTGATGGTGATACATGGCTGTGTACATTCTGTATATACAACTCGTCTAAACATCAGCCCAACAATGTTAGATCTGTAAATTTGCTTTCGCAAATTTTTAGTTCTTCCCTCGCCGGGATTCGAACTCATGCTACTGAGATATCGTGACACCAATTCGCCCGGCCACCGAAAGCTTTATTATGAAACCTAGGTGGTAGGGTGGTCTAGCGCGTCGGATACAGTGCAGGCGAATTGGTGTCACGATATCTCAGTAGCATGAGTTCGAATCCCGGCGAAGGAAGAACTAAAAATTTGCGAAAGCAAATTTACAGATCTAACATTGTTGGGCTGATGTTTAGACGAGTTGTATATATATATATATATATATATATATATATATATATATATATATATATATATATATATATGTGAGGATAATGAAGAAAACGAAGAAGAAGAAAATAAACCACTAGTAAGAAATAAATCAGACTGGATTCCAAAACCCACAAAAGATAAAGATTTAGAAGAAACAATTAAAACATTAAAAACGAATTCACTTCAAAGCAATAAAAATGTCAAGGACAATTTAACCCACGAGGAGAAAACAGCTTTGCAAAATTTAAAATAAGATAAATCAATAATAATTAAAGAAGCGGATAAAGGGAATGCGGTTGTAATCATGGACCGTGAGTATTACCGAGATAAAATTTTAAATATGTAACAAGATGAAATGTTTTATGAGGTGACAGATAAAAAAATGGACAAACAAACAAGTACAATGATTAAAAAGTTACTAGATAAACATAAGACTGAATTGTATAAAGAGGAGATAGATTACATTTCAAACTCTAAATTTTCAGAAAGCTATTTCTATGGTTTACCTAAAATTCACGAAAGTGAGGAAATTTCAAATGCGGTATCAGAACAAAACAGTGAATACATCGAACTTTTAAGACCAAATGATTTAAAATTTCGACCTATTGTGGGCGGACCCAACAGCGTCACACAGAATTTAAGCCATTTTATAGACATTGTGATTAAACCTTTATGTCGTGAAGTTCCTAGTTTTATACGAGACGATTTGGAATTTTTAAATCATCTACCAACAACTGTAAATCCTAATTCAGAACTCATTACTTTTGATATTGTCAGTCTTTACACAAATATCCCACATGACTTAGGAATTACAGCCGTAAAATATTGGTTAGAAAATACGGAAAACGTCATTGAAAACAGATTAACAAAAGAATTTATCCTTGCATCTTTGAAACTTATATTAGAAAGAAATATTTTTTACTTTGACGGCACATACTATCATCAGAAAAAAGGAACAGCTATGGGTACTAAAATGGCGCCTTCATACGCCACTTTAGTACTTGGATATTTGGAACAATTATTATACGAAAAAATGGACCATAAATACGGAAATGACTTTGCCATTTACCTACGTCAAAACTGGAAACGATTTCTTGACGATTGTTTTATAATTTGGAATTCGGATATATCTGTCTCAGATTTTCATTCTGATTTAAATTCTTTAAACCCACATATTCGTTTCACAATTAACAGAAATGTCAACAAAATGCCGTTTTTGGATATTTTAGTACTTATAACGGAAGACAATGAAATTGTCACAGATATCTTTTCTAAAGACACCGATACACATATGTATTTAAATTTTTACTCAAATCATCCAAAACATGTAAAATTAGATATACCTTTTAATCTAGCGTCAAGAATAATTACCATTACAAGTACAGAACTATTACGCAATAAAAGATTGGAAGAATTAAAAGAGTATTTAAAAAAGCAGCAATGTCCGGAACAAGTGATAGATTACGGAATTCAAAAGGCTTTGATAAAAGGACCAATCATTACAGAATCACGGCGATCCGAAACAACCGAAGAATCATCAAACAGTTTAGACAAAATTATCCCGTTTGTCACAACATATAACCCACGAGATTATGATATATTTGGTTTCATGCGACAAATTGAAAATAATTTACACAAAAGTGAAAAAATGGACAAAGTATTACAAAAAAAGAAGATTATCAACAGTAAAAGACAGTCAAAAAGTCTAAAACGATATTTAACATCTTCAAAATTCGACTTTAATGAAACTTTGCCTATTGTTAGAAAATGTACCGATAAACGATGTATGACATGTCCAGATTTAATAGAAGAAAGTTCAATTTATTTCAAAAATGGAAAGCATTTCACAGTCAAACAAAATATGTCTTGTAAAAGTTCAAACGTCATTTATTCTCTCATATGTTCAAATTGTGAGGAATTTTATATTGGAGAGACAAAAACAGAACTGCGGACTAGAATGACTGTACATAGACAGCAAACCAACCATGAAGATTTAACAATCATCAGGGCTAACGACCATTTCCATCGTTGTTCTAATGGACGATTTAAAATATTTCCGTTGTATACGGTCAATCGTCAAAATGATTTTCTCCGGAAGAAGAAAGAAGAATTATTCATAAACATTCTCAACCCGGGATTAAATGATGAATAATATTTTAATTTTTACGAAACATTTTAAAGACTTTACTCCAATTTTAAAATGACATTAGTAGTCTCCCTTGTATTTGTTAACGTCATACTATTGTTAACGTCAATCAATTGTTTTATAACATTTAAGGAATGACTGTAATATTTTTTCTGTCTATGAAGAAATGACATAAAAAATGTGGTGCACACTGAATAACCCGCGTAGCGGGTTATTTTAAAGTGTGCACCACATTTTTTATGTTATTTCGAATAGACAGAAAAAATATTAAAGTCATTCCTTATAATTTAATTCTAAAAAGGAGTAAATCATGATAAAAACGTTGATGACGTCGCGGTCACATGACAAAATTATGTCTATGAGCTGATAGACAAAACACTTTCAGCCAATCAGAAGACGTGTTACATCCAAAATTAAATTATTTATGTATACAAGTCACATTACCTGAAGATCTGTGAAAGCAGTGAAAGAGCTAGTAAAAGTGATGAATTGAAACCGTCATTATCTTATATTAATTTTCTTATATGTTACCAGCATACGGATTCTATTTGACTTTTTTCTATATATATATATATATATATAGATCACAGTCAGTACACGTTTGCACACAATTTTTCTTGAAATGGAATGATCTATATTGAGCATTTAAATGTAAGGAAAATTAATATGAAATTGGAATTAAAAAAAAAAAAAAAAAAAAAAACGAATCGTATAATGAAAAATGCTCAACTTTGATATTTGTTAAATTTTTTGTGAAGTTATAATGATTTGAGTTGAAAAGTTCGGGAGGGTTTGGCACTCTTTTATGTACACTGTGCTGAAAAATATTTTAGGACTGGAAAATATAAACAAACTTCTCAAACATGTACAATCAAATGTACAACGTCAATAAATGAGCAATCATCATGAAAAGTTTTATAGATAAAGATTGTGATGAGTTCACTATATCTGTACCGTCTTTTGTAAATGTAGAATTCATCAACAATTTCATTAAAGCTTGTTCACATTTGTGTGCAGTTTGAAAGATGTGAATTGAAAACTGTAGTAGGGAATGATTGAACTATTTGAACCGCCACTGGAAGATTTTTGCCTAAAATTACCTGTGTTTCTAAGTCTACAACAATGGAAAATTCAGCTAAACTTCATCTACAGTTCAAATGGCATTTTTTTGCAATTTGGTAATTTAAGATGCTATTCATTTCACATTTGTAGGATGTACATATTAACAGATTCAACGAAAAATTGGCGCTAAAACAACATCTATCTGTATTTCGATGTGTTTGATGCAGTTGAAAGTTGTATTTTGTTGAAATTATGACTATTTGTGATAATCGTAAATTTCTACTGATTCCTAAATAAATTGATTGGGGGAAATAACAATTGGATGAGACCTTATGTATGTACTATGCTAGTGCATAACCATCGTTCTATGTGTATTGAATAAACTTGTGTCATGAAATGAGCAGACTTGACTTATATAAGTCATACTTGAAATAGTGTAAATTAAGGTAATTGTTCATTTGAACTCATTAAAAGATTCTTGCAGAAATTATATATAAAACGTGTACGACAAAAAATAATCGAAAACC